CATCTCTTAAAACCCATATCTTTGCCAACCAAGCCAGCATTTGGGCTTTCTAGTAAATTTTTCTCCTTAAATGACCATTCATGATTTTATCCCTACACTTGAACCTACCATCCTACTAACAAAGAATCGAAAGAGACAAAGGAATGGTTAAAAGATATAGCCAATCCTTATTTATCACCTTTTACCTTTACTAATAGAAGGTCAATTTCTCACTCCTGTTCTTTCATAAACAACACCAAATTCATCGATAAAAAGTTATGATCCTAATGGTAAGTGTGATTATCATATGGGAATAATCGATCACTCAATTAAAAAATACAAACAACTGAAGGAAAAGGTTAAAGATCTTATTAAAAGTGATATTTTGACTCCAGAAGTGATAGAACAATAGAAGTTGACTCTATCCAATTGCAAAATGTGAGAAGTTGAAATGTGAAAGATGGTCTCGAGTGTTGAAAGATCAAGATAGGATAATTTTCTTTTGAATCTTTCCACCGATTATATATGACATGTGCATAGTATCCCTAGGAGTTATCAAACTTATTTTGAAAGAATTGAATGTTTTAGATTTTTCTATAAAAATTTCTCTTTATACATTTGTTTGAATAAAAGTCCCACATAACAAATTTTCAAAATCATAAAAAAAAATAAAACCAAAAAGAGAGAAAAGAAAAAAGAAAGAAAAAAAAGTTTTCTTTTGCAATAAAAGATGAAAAAATTCTCGAAAGAAATAGCGATTACTATTAGGAAAAAGCTCATCAAATACCTTCACACCTTTCCAAATACTTTCATATCCCTAATCACTCAAATGATTTGACTCGTTTATTATAGCCATTCAAAGAATGTGAGTTTGAATATATTCTTGACATAAAGGGATAATAACCTTTTCTTGGGCAGGGAATAAAATAGGTCAATTTTAAAAATTTATTTTGAATTTCAAAAATCAAGTAAGATGCTATTTCAAATATTAAATTGATAATTTAATGTGTGTCAAAATTTTGCTATAACCATAGATATAAAAATGCCTAAACTTTTTCTCGTAAGTAACCTTTGTTTCACATCTTAAGACACATTGATTAAAAGAAACAGAATCATTTTTTGCCTCAAACAATTTGTTTCATACCTTTATTCCTTTTTTCTTCCTTTTACATCATTTGCATTATTTGCATCATGAGAAAAATATTTGACCTACAAATGAAAAAAAAAAAAAATAGACATTCACAGTTGCATCATTTGCCTATGCATTATGAAAGGGACATTCGCATTTGCATCACTTGCATTTGCTTCACTTGCATGTGCATTATGAGAAAGATATTTGCATTCACATTATTCGCATCATAACCAAAGCATTTGCAATCGCATCACAAGAAAGACATTTGCATTTGCATCATAGCATCTGCATTATAAAAAAAGTATTTGTAGGGACATTTACATAAAAAGAATATTGGCATTTGCATTGTGAAAAAGTCACATATATCTGTATCAAGCATTCGCATAAACATTCATATTCGCATCATTTGATAGAAATAGACATTTGTATCATGTTTGTTTTTATCAACCTTGTAAATATTAGAGAAAAAAAGAAAAAAAAAAGAGAAAAAGAAAAGGAAATAGCAAAAAATAAAATATGGGCAAAAAGGGAAAAGGGAAGTTTTTCATAAAAAGATGAGAAAAAGAGAAAATAGCTTGACAAAAGACCAAAATGTCAAAAAGGTTTAGAAAGTTGAAAGAAAATGAATATGCAAAAAGTGGAAGGGTTGTGGAAAAATGAGTGAGAAAGATGAGATATGATGCAAGATGAGATTTTAAACCCAGTTAAGCTAGCATCTAAGACAGTCTGTAAAACTTCTGGGCAAAATATTTTAAATTCTCAAAGTTTCAATGCCATTGATACAAGGAGCACTCAAAGATGTTAAGATTTGTAAGACCTTCGAGCATAATCTTTAAGATCTCCAAACGTAATCTTTAAGTCTTTCGAGCAACATTCATAAGTCTTTTGAGCTAAATTTATTTTAGTTTCAAAATTTGCAAGACCTCTGGACAAAATATTTTAAATTCTCAAAGTTTCAATGCCTTTGATACAAGGAGCACTCAAAGATGTTGAGATTTGTAAGACCTCCGAGCATAATCTTTAAAACCTTCAGGCATAATCTCTAAGTCTTCTAGGTAGGATTCGTAAGTTTTCTGAGTTGAATCTGTTTTAGTTTCAAGATTTGTAAAACCTCCGGATAAAATATTTTAAATTTTCAAAATTTCAATGCCTTTAATACAAGGAGCACTCAAAGATGTTGAGATTTGTAAGACCTCCGAGCATAATCTTTAAGATCTTCAAGTGTAATCTCTAAGTCTTACAGGTAGGATTTATAAATCTTTCGAGCTAAATTTATTTTAGTTTCAAGATTTGTAAAACCTCCAGGCAAAATATTTTAAATTTAAAGTTTCATTGCCTCTAGTTTGAAAAGCCTTTTAAAATTTTAAAGTTTCATAACCTTTGATTAGAAGAGCCTTTTAAATTTAAAGTTTCATAGCCTCTAGTTAGAGGAGCTTTTTAAATTTAAAGTTTCGTTGCCTTTGATCAGGGAAACCTTTTGAATTTTTGTTACCTCTAGTCAGAGGAGCCTTTTAAATTTAAAGTTTTATTGCATCTAGTTAAAGAAACCTTTTGAATTTAAAGTTTTATTTTCTCTAGTTAGATGAGCATTTTTAAATTTTTAAAAGTTATCAAGTCTTTATTTAGAGTAGCCTTTTAAATTTTCTTTCAAAAAAAAAAAATTTATGATCAATGTTTCATTGTTTGCATGTATTTGCCCAAACCAAATTGATGTATTTTTATCTTTGCTTTATTCTTAATTCTAAAAAATAAGCAAAGAGAGGTAACCGTAGACACCAATTTTATTTGATTCTATTTTAACTTAAATATAATTTATTTATATTATTATTATTATTATTATTAGACACGTACTCAAATCTAACACTCATTTTCAAATTCAAATACATAATAAATAATATATATATACTTATAATTGACCCCTCCAAAATCAACTGACAAGATCGACCATTGGCTCTCTCCCTTTCATCATCCTTGTCCATACCCTGGCAAAGAATGGTGTTGATTTTTATTTTGTTTCTAGTAAATAATTGCTAGTACCTGGTCCACAATGTGAAAAATGAGTTAACGAATCTCGACAAGGTTCATGGACGATTGTATGTGGATATAAAATTTATCTCTTCTCCAATTGGCTCTCAAGGGAAAAAAATTAAGTTGAGTGTAAAGTTTTTGTAATATTATATATATGAGTATATTTTTTATATTGGTGTAAAATTTACAATAATTTAAATGGATATTTAATCATAATAATATATATTTTGTATTACTTTTACCATTTTGTATTATCTTTACCCCTCCTCGAAACATCAATATCATTGATTTCTCTGTATATGATTTTGAATAAAAATAATTGAGATGTTTGGTTCTACATTCGGCGCAACAAAAGCGTGCCTAGTTTCCTACTTGTCAAATTTGTCTTTATATTTGTCTTTCCTACTTAAAAAAGTTCAGCTTTTTTTTTTTTTTGGGGGGGGGGGAGGGTTAGAAACAACGTACACCACACACCAAAAGCATAATAAAATAAATTATTATGATTTTAATAAATAAAATGCACCACTTATTTAAGATGATTATTTGCGTTCCTCAAAAAAAAAAAAATGATTGTTAGTAAGTTACAAGTCATCCAGGTGGTGCCTTTATATTATTTATTTATTTATGTTTCGAACCAATTAGACAAATTCGAAGTGAATGTTTTCTTTCCAACCAGAATCATATGCTTCTGTTTAAATAAATTGATTTATAAGATAAGAGTGAATATTTTTCGATACGCAGTTCAATACTCAATGCATGGTCTCTAAAAAATTGTAAATTTGTTTAGTTTTTACAATTGTCCTATAAAAGATTTGTTTTTGTACTGGATCAGGAGAAAGTAAAAAAAATAAATAAGAAATCGCATGAAAATTTGTATTTGGGATCCAAAAAAATTTTGTTTTTAGAAAGATTAATTATTTTGCAGACTCTCTAACTAAGATGGGAGTGCACAGATCTTACGATTTTATAACTTGATTATAATGACTTTGTTTATATGAATAATATTTTTATTTCAATCTTTAAAAAAAAAATTTTTTTTTTATTTCACATATATCTTTATCATAATTCTTCTTGAACCTTATCACTTTTGGATTCGTTATCTCGTTTTTTACACTCTAATTTAGACAATAGCTAATTATAGTTTATGTATTTTTCCAAGTATATATAAAAGAGGAAATGTGGATGTCAACTTCAAGTGGAATAGGAAGTGGATTTTTGAAATTTTGGTTTTTAGTAAATTTGTTTGATAACATTATAATAAGGTATTTCCATGCTTTTCTAACACATTAAAAAAAAAAAAAAAATCCAATCCTTGATTAATTTAAGATTTTTTTAGTATATCCACTTATAATATATATTACATATAAATTTATCAATTAATTTATTAATTTTATTGACGGTATCAAAAAAAAAAATCTTCCTTCAATTTGAAAGTGTCTATGAAAACCTCTTTCTTTCTCTCTATAAAAGTGCCTATAGGAGAGTTCCCATTTTGTGCACTATTTCGGATTTCTTTTATAAAGATTCCTCGTTCATTAGCTATCAAAATCATTGGCTCTCACCCTTTATCATCCTTGTCCATACCCTGACAAAGAATGGTGTTGACTTTTATTTTATTTCTAATAAATAATTGCTAGTAGCTGGTCCACAATATGAAAAATGAGTTAACGAATCTTAACAAGGTTCATGGACGATTGTATGGAGATATAAAATTTAACTCTTCTCTAATTGGCTCTTAAGGGAAAAAAAAAATTAAGTTGAGTGTTAAAAGTTTTTGTAATATTATATATATGAGTACATTTTTTTTTTATATTGGTGTAAAATTTACAATAATTTAAATGAATATTTATTCATATATCTTTACAATTTACATCAAAATTACTGATTTGTGTGTATATGATTTTGAAAAAGAATGATTGAGATTTGGTTCTATATATATTCGGCGTAACAAAAACGTGCCTAATTTCCTATTTATCAATTTTGTCTTTTTATTTGTCTTTCCTACTTAAAAAGGTTGAGATTTTTTTTGGGTAGAAACAACATACACCACTTATTAAAATCATAGTAATAATTTATTTTAAGATATTTAAAATGATTGTTAGTAAGTTTCAAGTCATCCAGCTGTGCCTTTATGTATGTATATATACACAAGCCTCTCATAGCTTGAATTCATGTAAAAATTGGAGAGTCTTGGGAAAGATATGAAAATGAGGGACTTACTGGGGCTGGCTGCTGCTGTCTTAGCTACAGTGAGCTTGTTAGTGTCAGGTGTGTGTGGCTTCGACTTCTATAAGCTCAGTCTCGCCTGGCCACCTTCTGCTTGTAACACCGGAAGGGAGTGTATTCCGTACATCCCCGGCATGTTTACCGTCCATGGTTTATGGCCACAATATGCCAATGACACTGCGGTGCCACCGTACGAGAAAAATCCTAAATGCACCACTGTCACTCCGACCAGTCCGGATCAAATTCCTGTAAGAAAAATTATTTTAAACAATATTAATTTTACATTTACAATTTTTATCAATTGGTTTTTTTTTTTTTTTCATTTGTTCGTTTCAACTTGTAGGCCGTATTACAACCCATCGAAGAGAAATTGAAAGAAAATTGGCCGAGTTTTTATCCGGATAAAACAACAGGTGCACGTAATGATCCGGCTTTCTGGAGACATGAATGGGAATCTCACGGAATGTGTTCAGATTATCCTGATGATACTCTCGGTTATTTCACGGAGACTTTAAATTTGGCCCAAAACAACAATCCGCTAAAAGGTAATGATATACGTGATTTTATTTTAAAAGATAAAATATACCGTTAATCATTAAATTATTATCATATTCATTTAATTATTAAATTTTTTATTTAATCCATATATATATATATATATATAGTTTCAAATTCATAAAATTTTAGCATGGCGATTTGATCTTTTGCTTCTCTCCTACAGTAATGGGAATTCAACCTGATGATAAAACTCTTCATGAAGTGAAAACCATATCAGAAGCTGTCAAGAAAAATGCGAAAGCATATCCTCAAATTGTATGTAACACTCTGCCTGGGAGTACCACGCTTCAGCTTGTGGAGTTCCGTTTCTGTTTTAAAAGGGCAAAGCCGCCGTCTGTCCTTCAAGACTGCCCCAATAAATTGGCCGGTACTTGTAAAAGCGAGACCGACGAAATACGGTTCCCACCCGCTCCTCCTATTTCTTAATGCGATAAAAATCGATTTATAAGGCTTCCAAATATAATAATAAAACTGATACATAATAAATGTTCGTCCTTTGTTTATGAAATAATAATTTCGTAAATTTCACCACGCCTGAAAGTAGATGGCTTTTCTACATGGCATGGTTAATCATTCGAATTGTATTAATTTTGAATGCATTACTATAATAAAAGCTGGTTTGTATAATATATATTTGAAGTTTGAATCTCATTCAACTCTAATTTAATTCTTAAATTTTAACGTTGTTGGCATATTGTGACCATATATACTTTATTATTCTCATCTCACTTTTGGATGTCTTTTTGTCTAATCAGAAGCATATGCTTGAAGTAATCAATAAATAAACATGTAATTGAAAAAAAAAAAATTTGAAGCAAACCAACGTATACATCATGAATCTTCAACGTATATATTATTTTTAATACTCTTATTATTTTTACTTTAAAATTATAATTTTATAAATATTAATAACATATACTCTTGTGCAATATTACATGTGATTATATATATATATATATATATGCTATTATAATCTTTAATATTGTAGTATGATTTTTTTTCAAATATCAAAATCAATGAGTTGTCTTTTTCTTATTGTGAACATAATAAATCTGTTGGATTAACACGATAAATATCTGCCATTCATCCCTACTTGTGCTCAGTTTTAACATTTGTCATAAAAATTATGGATTAAATCTTAATTTGAAATTGGTAGGGTTTGATAAGTCTTTTTCTTTGACCACTAGAAGCTCACTCTCCAATGGTCACCTTTTGCTTGTAACATTAATGTGGACATCAAATTTTGTTCAAAATATTTTTTAACAAAATTGACCCAGAGTTCATTTATGAACATGAGTTAAGATCATTTAAGTGGACTATTTATAACCTATAAAGAGCCCACAAACTTGTTCATTTAGAAATCTAAAGTCAACTCGAGTCAAATCTGATCAAACAACATCAAAATTACAAAAAACTCGATCAAAATGAATAAAGCCCGAGTTAATTCTCAAATTTTAAAACTTAATTGGAATCAATGTAATTTAAAATTAAATTTGAGGATTTTTTTTAAACTTTTATTGCACCCCAAGAAGTGCAAAATTATCAAATTACCTTATAAGGGTATTTTCATAATTTAGCCTTCATGAGCTCAAATTTTTGTAAAACTTTTCAGATCTTAATTTTATAATATTTCATAATTTTTGATGCATTTGAAATTGTAGCAGTGCCCCGAAAAGTGTGAAATTACCAAAATACCTTTATAGGGGTATTTTCGTAATTTAATCTTTTTAACTCTAATTTTCATGAAACTTTTTAAATCTTAAATTTTCATGATTTTTTATTCATTTGAAATCACAGCAGTGCCCTGAAAAGAGTGAAATTATCAAAATACTCTTATAAGAATATTTTCATAATTTGACCTTTCCGAGCTCAAATTTTTACAAAACTTTTTAAATCTCAATTTTATAATATTTTATGATTTTTGGTATTCTAAAATCCTAAAAACAAGTGTGGAAACATTTGATTTATAAAAAAATGATCTAAATATTGAAAACTTTATACTATAAGTAAAATAGTTTTTTCAAAGGTTTAAAAACAATAAAAATCTAACATTTACAGTGGATAATGTGAACAATTGGATCTCCTTTGAATTTGACCCCATGGTTAAAACTTGTTCCTTTAAAAAAAGAAAGGAAGAAACTTTAGCCCTTTGATGTTAGTTGATTCAAGGGCTTATATTCACCAAAAAACAAAGTTAGTTTTTTTTACAAAGAGAAGGGTCTGTCGAAAAGAGGGGGAGCTTCCAAGAAAGAAAAAAAAAACAAAAAAAACCAGAAAAATCGTAAAGGAAGAAGTGAAAGCTTGGTTGAAAAAGGCAAAAGAAAAGAAAACTCTTGAAGAAAATGGGAGGGAAGGTAGTCTTACTGAACTTTTTGGATATTCATGTTCTTACATGTGAGATTAAAAAAAATGGTCCTTTTTTTTTCTTCATGTTTGTTTCGGGATAAGGTTTGTATGAAAGTTGAAAACTTGTTAGTTTAGAGAAGCTTAAAGCTTCAAACTTTTGTCAATTTTAGTATATCCTTGTTTGTAAGTTATTTGTTGAGGGTTTAAAGGTTATTGTATTTGTTTTCTTCTTCTACTTGTTTCCATATGTATGTTATTATATAAGCTTTAAAGTTCATCTTATATAGGTGCTAATGTTTTTAATTTCTGCATGAAATGATGCAAGAAAGCTTAAAACTTCCTTTTTGTTATGTTTGTTATCTTTTCCTTATTATTCATGCATCTTGTTCTTTCTTCTCTTCACTTTTGCACATGGTATATATAATGCATGCACTATAATTGGTCCATGAAAGTTAAGGGTCTCAATACTTTAAGGGTTTGTTTTTCTGTATATGAATTGTTGGATGGAGTCTATTTGTAAAAGTTTAAAAGGCAACGGGTGGCATGGTTTTTAGGATGGAAGAATAGAAAAAAATTAATTAAAATGAAAAAGCCATAGATAGGACAAAACTAAAGCTTTGTTTAAAATGGATGGGACTACACGGTTTTCTTGGCTTTCTTGAGATTGAAGAATGAAAGAGGTATTAAAGAATGAAAGCCATGTAAAGAAACAAGACAAAGCTTTCTATAGAATGGCGTGGGGACCATGACATTGTTTTCCTTTTGCTTGATGGAGTAAGTCTAAACTTGTAGTGGAGATTTAATAGTATTTTGTCAAGATTGCAAGACGTGGGGAAGGAAGACCATATCTTTTGTTGATTTTTAATTGGTTAGGTCGTTTTAGTTGAAATTCTCTAAATAAATTTGTAATATAAGACATAAAATTGGTCCATAATAAAGGTCTATTTTCATTTATATTTAAGTTTAATCATACCTATATATTAGTTCACGATGTTTTAGTTTAATTGCAAGTTTTGTTTTTTATTTTATTTGGATTCTCGTGCTCGTTTTAATTTAAGTTTTCATACTTAAATTTATGTTTAGTATATTTATGTACTTTAAATTTATGCATAATAATAATAATATTAATAATAATATCAATAATAATAATAATAATTAAAAAAAGAAATATATATAAAAATTCATTTTTAGAAGAATTATGAAAACGAGTTTGTTACGAAAGTCTATCTAAATATTGAAGACTTTTAGAAAGGTTCGTAAATTCTTAAAGCTCAAACCCGAACCTATTCAAAATCTCAAACTCTTTTAAATTTTTAAAGATTGGCATAAAAACTTTTTATGAAATAATTTATTTCCGAATACCACATAGATGTTGTGGTTTTTAGGAAATTTTATTTTATTAAGAATTTTCATACATTTTAGTTACTCGAAATATATTTGTTAAATTAACAAATATAAAAAATAATTGAACGAAATTTTTAAATATAAAAATTCACACCCAAATTCTGTTTAGATGTTGAAAAATCTAGGTGATTTTTTCATATTTGAAAACCCAATTCTTAAATTCACACTTGATCATCATTTTGCATATATTTTGTTTTAAATTAATGTCTTCATTTATAATGCATATATATATATATATATATATGCTTTAGTTACGGATGTTTAATATTAATTTTATTATATTTTATTTTTTTACATCAAAAGTTTTCTTAAAATTTTTAGTTTTGAATAAACAAAAATTAAAATAGCATTCTATGAAATATAAATGATTAGTACTCTATCTATAGATTAGAGAGTCATCAATGATTATTATTTACAAAAAATATTATTTTATTATTTTTAGAAAGAACGTTATGATAAATCTTAAATGAAAAGATTATCTTCAAATTCTGACTTTATGTTGGAGACTTTGAAGATATTTCTTTAATTTGAAATTTTTTTTTAATATTCCTAAATAAAAGATTTTTTTAAACTAATTTTATTTCTCACAAAATGAAGGGAATTGTAACTAAATTTCATATAAAAATCATATTTGTTCAAAATTATAAATAGCACATAATTAATTTGTATCAATTTTATAGACACGGTAGAAATGTTAATTATTCCCAACGTGTAACTAACTTTCGAATTTGATTCTGTTTTTATAGGTTAAAATTGTCTTTTTAATAAACTCATTATTTTTATTAAAAAGATAAAATTTTTGGATGACCAATCACACCTTTAAAAAATATTGGTAACGACTTTCTATATTTTTTTATAATTTTTAAAATATTTTATATCCAACAATCAAATCCCCGAATAGATAAGTTACGACAATTAAGAGGTAAAACGTCTCTGAGAAAATAATTCTGCAAATGATTTGTAGTCACACTATGACGATGAAAATGACCGTACGATGAAACATTACATGCGTTGATATCACTCTTGTTAGAAATTTTGAGAAAATAAAAAAGAAATTCAGACATGAAAAACATTACCTTAAAAATAATTATGTATACAAAATATGACAATTTTAAATTTTTCTAAATTGGAATTAGTGAAATTCATAAAGTAAAAAAACTATTTATAATAAGCCAACGGTCACAAAATTTTTATTCAAAAAATTATAACAATTGTATAATTATATTTTCTTGCTCAAACAAATTTATTCAATTTTTTTTTGTTTTAACATACAGAATAAAAAATAATATTATAAATATTAAAGAAATAAAAAATTTAAATGAAAAATAAGTTTATATACTAAATAAATTCAAATGCTCAATCTTTGACTTTTAAAATTATTTAATTCTCCGAAAAAAATTCCTAATAAGCTCAATTAATTTGGCTCTCTCTTGCACTTCATTCAATTATTTAAAAAACATAAGTAATCTCTTTTAAATTATATATAAATAATATTTTTATTTAATATGAAATATGCTATATTCTAAACTATTAACACCTATGAGTAATGAAATTATTATCGTAGGCAATTGTTTTAAATTGGTTAATACTTTTGTATGCATTCACTAAATTTGATGATCGAATGAATTTATTCATATATATATTTGATGTATTAAATTAAAAATTTTATATTAAAAAATAATTGTATAGAACTGTATATCAATATTTAGTGACTTCATTATATATGTATTATGACAATTTTTGGTCTAATACATAACCAATTATACAAAATGTGTTCATGAAAATTTATTTTGGATACGATTTTCTCTCTCTAGAGCTATTGCTCAAGCTCAATAAGCTTAATAAATTCATACATACGTACA